TATGCAGCGGGGGCGCTTAAAGTACCGTGAGCCGTAACCTAGAGAAGCAGTGACGGTCTCCGGGAGAGAGAGGGGAGAGGGAGAGGGAGCTGCTGAGAGAATAGAGGGCAGAGGGAGGAGAGAGAGAGGAGAGGGGGCGGAAATTAAGATACCAGATGGGAGAGGGGACAGTACCCGCTATGGAAGGCTAGGACACGGGTAATGTGAAACGAGAACGTAACATATGGAGCTGCATGATAATTACAGGAAATGAAGAAATAGAAACACTGAATGGTATTCGCAAATTATATTGTAGATCGAGAATACAGTGTAAGATGTATTTACTGCGCAGTAATAACGAGGAGATAGGTCGTAACATGATAATACGATTGTATTGGCAGGAAATGCTAATGTGTTTGTGCGCGTTTTCTGGCTGTATTGCTCCTGGAGTCATAGGGTCTAATGTCCTAGGTGCACCCTCTCAGCCTTACTACCTTAAGCTAGTCAGTCTATGGGATCAGTAGAGCTAGTACAGGCAATGCCGTACATAACACCTACTGAGTTCAAGGATACGAGAACATGGGGTCCAATAAACAAATGTAATTTTACTTCAATATATAATTAATCATCGTAGATAGGTTAGGGTTATGTTTATGTTTTAGGTGTTCACGAATGTTAGGGGGGTTTCGTGTGTAGAATTTAAAGTTACTTACCACATTTGTTTTAGAATTGAAAACCGAAATGGTTCTCGATGAATCTTGAGGTGATGACACCTGACTGAAGCTCTCGGACAAGTACACTTTCCGAGGCTCACAGTAAATGAGAATGACAGATGAGTAAAAGCTCATACCTTGCAACGCGAGACCACAGTAACAATGAACATACATTATCCAGAGTGGAGAGAGACGACTGGACGAAAGAGAGTACTGCGAAACCACCTTGATTAAGACGGGCGGCTGCCTTGCAAATGCATAGGGAGTCCTCCGGGCGAAGCTAGCACTGAGACCGACAAGAAGAAACGGTGATTTGCTGGAAGTATGGGACTACTAGAGAGTAGCTCCTAAGAGAAACCGGAGGGATATGCACGGCTAGGTTTAGGACGATACCGTAAATGTATAGGAATCACTCGCACAGTCCTGGGGTCCGGCACAATATCATTACTAGGGAATGATTAATTCGGTTCATCAACCAGAGCCCCAAGGAGACGACCGACGGGAGTGATTTAGTGAGAAACAAACTTTGTGAATTTGATATTAGAACAGAGGAGCAATTTGAGAACCGGGAGCATGTAGAACGTCTACCAAGCAGAGAGCAGCATTATATTATAGTCGAGTATATCCTTGCCATAAAAAAATACTCTATAAATTATAGATTATAACCCCTTATAGACGAGACAGCTACCTGTAGAATGAAACAAACGTGATACCCATGCGAATAAACCGAGAGAGTCAGGAGAAACACGGAAAAGCGACGGAAAGACACAGAAATACCATACATTCATGCTTTCGGAGATTCTATGGTCGTGCTTCTCTCTCTCCTCCACGACGTCGTTCGCATCCAGCATCGGTTTCCCCATCATGCTCGGCTCCGACTTCTCCACGGACATCGAGGGACGGTAGCGACTTATGATCGAGAAGGTCGTCTTCGAGCCGCAGTTCTCCGTAAAGTGGCCGCTGCGTAAGCGGTGACGTTGCCAGCGCTTCTTCAGCTCGGCTTGCACCTGAAATAATTGTGTCGATCATAGTGGGTGCGTGGTGTGGGTGGTGGGTGGGGTGGAGGCGTGCATGTGGGTGAGTTTCGGCGTGGGTGGGGTAGGTGGGGGGAGGAGGATTGCATGTGGGTGGGGTGGGGGAGGAAGGGTGGGGTAGAGTGTGGGTGTGGGTGTGGGTGGGGAAGGAGGGGTGTATGTGGGTGGGGTGGGGTAGAGTGTGGGTGTGGGTGGGAAAGGAGGGGTGGGTGTGGATGTGGATGGGGGGTTGGGAGTTTATGCGCGGTATTCCGCTTTCGTAAAGTGACCGCTTTGAAAGCGATGGCGGTGTCAGCGATTTCTAAGCTGGCTCGGTTTGCACCTGAAATCAGTGCGTTGATGTAGATTATAGGGGGTGGGGACAGGGAAGATGGGTTCGTGTGCGGTATTCGATGGAAAAATGCAGAGATTAGAGGGAGAAAGTTGAGCACGTAGGGGGCATTTTTCTACGGTTGAATTCCCGCGAGGTTGGTTAGCGGTTACCGCGTGTTAATAATAACAGTTGTATTTTTTATTGTTGATGGCTTTTGTTTTATTTTGAATATAACTTTTACTAGACGCGTTATTTGAATAAACGTACACATGGTAGAATTACTAAAAATTAATGTTTGTCGCATTGTTATTACGAAATAATTGTTTTTAAATCCATTTATTTACGAAACGGGCTAATCCTTTTTGTTTACTATTTGTAGAATATATTCCAATGAATTAGCAATCACACACATTTCATTCAGAGCAATAAAGTGGATGAGAAAGATGATCTACACCTCATTACCAGAGAATTTACGCTAATAAAAGTTCGCCCGAAATCAACAATTTTTTTCTTCCGCCATTTTAGTCGAAAACATTCCAAATACGAGTACAATTTCATAGCATAGCCTGCGGGCCTTCTATGAAAACCACTATAGTCCTGCTGAAATGAGGTTTGATGACCTGATTGCGACACCTAGGGCGCAGAATGAGCCTCCCCCCCGTGTAACAGCAGTAATACTATCCGCTAATGATGAAACGAACAGTAACAGATTGCAGCGAAATACAATATAGTGCGACACGTCGACCGACGGATCAGTGCCTATATACGTCGAGCGTCACTCAACACGCCAATAGAACGTCATTAGAGTCACCGGTAAACACCGTACGTTCGCAATTCGTAATGGTATCTCGTTAAGATATTTCGTATCAGCGTTCGTTTTTTCCGCGATTGTTTTCTCTCCCCTAATAGTGTCCCCAGGCGGCGCCACCTGGTGGCGTCGGATGTCTTACCTCGCCGTTGAGGAAACAAAAGAGCAGCGCGACGAAGAACCCCTGAAATGAAAACGAGAAGATTATTCGTCACGCGTTCAGTTGAGAAAAAAATCGTCGTGGGAGAAAATTTGATGAAATCACTCAGGGCGGTTTACTGCGAGGTTCAGATGTCTGTTGAGTTGAAATGCGTCTTGCGATGTATGTCTACTTCTGCAATTGTGATCGCCTGCGTGCAAGGAAGACACACACACACACACACACACACACACACACACACACGCGCACACGCACGCACACACGACACACGCACACACACACACAACACACGACACACACAACGACACACACACACACACACACACACACACACNTTTAACTTTTTAACTTTTTAAGATTTTGACGTGCTGATTCTGAAAATATCTTTACTTTTCCTCTAGGCTGCGGAGTTCTCTAGTTATACGAGTACGAACTAATTCGGCTGAACAACTTTACATATATAGATATACATATATATTTACATTTATTTGTTAATTTGTTTGTTTATTTATTTATTTATTTACACCTCGCGTACCTTGCACCCCGCGCACGTTCAGCACGGACAACTCACATGAGTCACGGACAACTCACCTGAGTCACGGACAACTCACCTGCGTTACGAACAACTCACATGAGTTACGGACAACTCACCTGAGTTACGGACGAGACTCACCTGAAACGAGCTGAAGAATTGGTCAATGAAGAGCCAGACGATGACGGCGGTAGCGTGGTGCGTGTTAGCCATCCCGATCAGCAGCATGTAGTGAATGCCGAACAGCGGCAGCAGCACTAACGTCGATTTCGCCAGCCTTCTGCGGGAGCGTGAGAGCGAGGGTGAGAAAGATGGGGGGACACACACACACACACACACAC